CTTTATACGGTCTGGGATATCAATCGAGCTCTTGCTGGTTATTCCACTAGAACACTCGCGAACTTAATATGCAATTTTGTATATTCTCGCCAATTTCTCCTTTGAACTCTCATTTCGAAATCTATCTATAATATGAATACGGCTTCGCTGTGAACTATTAACTGAAAAGCATCGCTCCCAACTAAATCATTCATATTCTCAACGTTTGACTAATTGGCGACGATGCGTAAAATCATTGTTAAATTGCGCTCGACAGACTGCAATTGCGATGTTTACAGATTCGTGGAAATTGTTGCACTTCTAGATGCTCACCGAACATACGATATGATATGTCCACTATTCAGCGACGACTGTCTGTGAGATAAATGAGCGATTGAGTTCATGTGTATATTTGACTGAATGTCGTGGCGTGAACGTGATCTGCAGTATCAACAACCACCCAGAAGACAGTCGACTGCTGAGTACAATTTGAACGGTGGTCGAAACGCGTTTCGTATGGCAAGCGCCTTCAGCGAGGCTTGGGATGCAGCTGGTAAACGAATCCGTTCATTTGCATTCGCACCTTGCGTGCAACTTTCAGGAATTTACAATTGTTTTGATAAGTGAATTTATTAACCGAGGTGGATGGTAGTGTGTGGAAGTTTTTCCGACATTTTATTCCACATTCTCGAAATTCATATTCATTATCTGTGGAATTGAGCATTCGAATGAATGCTGACTGTTTTCACTGACGAACATGCATAAGTTGATGGAAACTTGAAGATGCGATCGATGCGACCGAAATTCTACGGCAGCATTCAGCGATGCGATCGTTCACGGAATCTGTCGATTCGGACTTGCCACCCGCACCTGAACTGCCGCAAAGTCTGGACATCGATTATCAATACCCAACACCGTCGATGACTGAAAGTGACACTGGCGATACAATTGTAGAAGTGGTGCGTCAATTTAGATCGAGCATTATCTCGTAACGTGAATGTTTTCGATACGTAATCTTTATACGTATACGTAAACTTTATACGTATCTTTATACGTATACGTAATCATTATATGTAATTTATACGTAATGTTTATACATAATTTATACGTGATCCTTATACGTCAACTTCATATGTATACGTAACGTATACATATACGCAATTTATACGTATGTTACCGTAATTTCGAAGGAACTACGATAAATGCATATTGACGATGTATCAATATTCAATTTTTCCACTTTATTTACTGAGTGGATCATGTCCTTTGCGTTTCTTCATTGAAGTTGTTAGCCGTTCTATGACGTGCATATTTTAGTTGAGGAAAGCACCTGAGGACGATGCTACCACGACGGATTACGACAAAACGCTGGGTGCAACTCAGAAATACCCAATGATGGTACCTGGACCAGGTCATGCTGATGCTGAGCAGGAAATGCACGAGAGTCTTCTGGCGAAGGAGGAGGAAAGCTCGGAGAGTGATCTTGAGGTTCGCGAACAACTAAGGAACGTCGAACAAGTTATCACTGCTGCTGCGCGAAGTAGTGGTGCTCCGAGAAAGGTAACGAGATAAATTTTTCATGCTTGGTCTCATAAATTCATGCTTGATTCATGATTCATGCTTGATCATGTTTGC